AATTCCAGAGAAAAGATCATGAAAATGCTGCACTAGTCGCTTTGAATCTGGGGTGTGTTGTCCTTGGGTTTTCTGTTCAGCTCCACGGGGAGCAGGGCATTGTCAGCCTCCCAGGTGTCAGACTCCCACCCCAGGGCAGGTGCAGCAGCGCCGCCCTCAGGCAGCAGGGAGAACTGATAGGAAGAATCTACAATTTAGGCTGAGAATTTCCCACACCCCCTCCTAACCCAGACATGTTCTAGAACACTCAGAAGAGGCTATTATTATTTAGGGATTAAGACCTCTGTCACTGAGGAGCTGTGATCCAGGGCAGGACCTTACCCCTATCTAAGTCCCAGCTTGTCACCCACAGAATGGGTTCAGAGAATACAGACCCACTTCTGAGCTCTCAGTGGCCAGGCCCGTCCAGGAGTGAGGCCAGGACTCAGACTGGGGTGGAGATGTCACCCCCAGACTATGGGACAGCAGGTGGAGGAGGATCCCCCGGGCCGAAGCGGGGTCTGCAGGGGCCACCCCTCCCTCTCCGTGTCCCTGGGGGCTGAGCCCTTCTCTGAAACCACAGAGGCTCTCCAGGCAGACACCCTGGGCTCCGGCTGATTTGCATCCCCAGCAGCTCTCTCTCCAGCAAGGGGATAAGAGAGGCCTGGGAGCCACCCTGCCCAGCCTAGGCCTTGGGGAGCAGATTCGGGGTGCCTCCACCATGGCCTGGACCCCCCTCCTCCTCGGCCTCCTGGCTCACTGTACAGGTGCTGCCCCCAGGGTCCACCCACCCCCTGGCCCAGGGCTCGGGGACAGACCTGGCCCTGACTCTGAGCTCAGCAGGGCGCTGCCCGTGGGGACAGGAGACTCCTGGCCCTGCTGCAGGATGGGGGGCTGGAGGAGCTGAAATCTCCCCACTGTGCTCACTGCTGTGTGTGAGCCCCGAGGGGCTGCGCCTGCCAGAGAAAGTGAGGGGCGTTCTCATTTGTTCAGAGGCTCCATCCACCAGCCAGGCCCATGGGCCCCTGGGGCTGAGACTGACAGGAGGGGGCGCCCTCGGGGCCCAGAGAATCTTTGGAGCTTAGTCCAGGCCAGGCAGGTGGGGGTCTCTGGACATGGGTTCTTCACCTCCAGCCCACCTGTCCTTTTCTCTCCTGCAGGCATTGTGTCCTCCTATGAACTGACTCAGTCGCCCTCGGTGTCGGTGTCCCTGGGACAGACGACCAGGATCACGTGTGGGGGGAACAACATTGGAAGTAAATATGTTCAACGGTACCAGCAGAAGCCGGGCCCTGTGCTGGTCATCTATGGTGATGGCAACCGTCCCTCGGGGATCCCTGACTGGATATCTGGCTGCAAATCGGGGAACATGGTCACCCTAACCATTAGCGGAGTCCGGGCTGAGGACGAGGGTGACTATTACTATCAGTCATATGACAGCAGTTATAATCCTCATGGTGACACAGGCAGATGGAGAAGTGAGACACTAACCTCCCTGCCTGGCCGGGCGCTCACTCCACCCGCCTTGGAGCAGCTGGAGGGCAGGCCTGAGGCTTGGGCATCCTCTCTGGTCCTGGCCCGGCTCCTCCAGGGCTGGACACTCTGTCCTCTTGGGGCCCTGGTTCGTCCTGATGAAAATGGAGAAAGGTGTCTGCTCTGAGCTACAAAGACTGCTGTCAGGGTTGAGAGGAAAGGAAAGTTTTAGGGGTCATGATGTGGTCCAGGACCCGAGTGTGATCCCGTGTCTCAGGAGAGCCCACACTCTCTGAGCCGGCGGAGCTCTGTGGGGATCCGTCTCCTCCTGGTGGGACCCGCTCCAGGAGTCCTGGGGCTGGGTCCCCTGCTCTCCTGGATGAGGCGCCCCATGTCCTGTGGGGCTACCTGCAGCCTGGAGAGGCCTGAGACCTGGTCCTGTCCCCTGGGACCCTTCCTCTCCTGAGATTTCACAGAAACCGCAGAGGAAGTGCTGAGTCCGCCTGGCTTCTCCTGGGGACACTCTCCTGGACACACTGTCCTCTGGTTGGACCCCAGGTCCCAAGTGCCCAAAAGTACTGTCTGATGGGGGCAGAGTTTCTGTTTGGGGTGATGAAAAAGCTCTAAAGATAGATCGTGGTGCTGGGTGCACAACGCAGTGAATGTGTTTTAGTACCACTGGATTTTCACTCAAAAATGATGGTATTATCCAGGTTTCCCCAGACACAAAACAAATAGGATAGGTATGAATAGACAGAGATTTATTGTGAGCAATTTTTTAATGAGGATTTATTATGAGGAATCTTCCCCTGAGGTTTTGGAGGTTGAGAAGTCCCAGGAAGCACTGTCTGCAAGTGGACACCGGCAGAGTCAGGGGTGAGATTCAGTCCGAAGGCCTGAGAAGCAGGGAAGCTGATGTATGACTCTCAGTCCCAGGGTGGGAGACCGATGTCCCAGCGCCCCCGTCAGGGAGAAGGGGGACTCTACCTTCCTTGGCCTTTTGTTCCTCCCAGACCAACACGGGGAGGGCCGCCTGCTTCACTGAGCCCACAGGTTCAAATGCTCATGTCCTCCAGAAACACCCCCGGACACCCGCAGAAATAAATGTAAGTGGGACCTCGGTTTCCGAGTCAAATGGACACACAAAATGAACCATCACGGTGATTAAAGTAATAACTCTTATGTATGTATATTTTACAATATTTTTTAAATTGCTCAGTCTGAAATAAAGCACAGGAATTTGAATTTTGAAGTCATTTGACCAACAAAGCAGAAGAAGAATTGTGTAGTGATCACCCATATACCCTCTCCCTGGTCGTAACATGGGTTACATGGTGCCCTGGACAGTTACAGCCTTTCTCTCTCTCCATATATATGTACGTATGTATGTATTTCAGAGAATTCACATTCTTCGGTCCAGTCCACAGCCGCCACATTCCCAGGTGCCCAGAAGTTTATTTTAGCTGTTAGTTTTGTTACCGGATAAGATCCTCAAGGTTCCCGCCCTCACATTTGGTTATCACTTCTCTCTGATCCAGCATTTATCAGCTAAGAGTCCTTATGATTCTAGGCTATGGGATCTTTTGCAAAAGTTCCACACAGAGGAGTGTGTTCACTGTGCACAGGAGGACAATGGTTCTCTATTGTGAGAAATGCTAACAGAGCCCTTCACACAGACATGAAAGGATCAGAGATAGTAATTACAGTCATTCTAAGAAATAAGAACTATAATAAAGGCAACACATAGGTTAATTTTAAAAGGGCTGGTCTTAAGGTACTTTTGGTAAACCTGCAGGCCCTACAGACCCCTGAAGACTCAGCTGTCAACCAATAGATTGGCCATGAGACACCAGTCACTCCCACCTGCTCAGGAGAATGAGGACGAAGCATCACGGCAGCAGAGGCAGCAGGACCCAGCCAGGCCCCTGAATGGCCAGGCAGCCCTGCATCCCCACAGATTCTCCAGCTTAATCTGGGGTACAGCCCCGCTGACCACCCCCACATGCAGGCTGAGGGGGCTTCTACTGACAGAAAGGATGTGGTGGGGACGACAGCGATCCTGGGGACCCTGTCTCTCCTCCCAGCCTGGCCCTCATGCTCCCCTCCCTCGCTGATGAAGTTCTGCCCCAAAGGGCCAGGGTCTGAATCCAGGACCCCTGGGCTCCACCCTGGGCTCACCCCACATTTCTCTATTAATCTGGGGACTTACTCTCTCTGGGCCACAGCTTAACCTGCTATAAAATGGGGAGGTATGTACTGACCTTAAGAAATTTTTTTCCAAGTTAAATTATAAAAAGGCCACCAAAGTGTATTGTTAACTAAAGAGGGAATCAGTGAGTTATGAGGTCCTAGAGTTTCCTGTCGTCACCCTGCAGGAATCCGAGGAGAGGGGTTCAGCCATCTGTATGATTTCTGGATAGAATCCCAGTGGAATAAGCAGAAGATCCCCAGTTTCCTTAAAAAGGCAGACTATGCTAAGGTAGAAATGCTAGCACCACAAACTCTGAGAGGTGTGAAGTGACATAAAAAAATAAAAATAAAAAAAGGAGGAGAGATGGTGGAGATCCTGATGGTGATGATGGAGATGATGGTGATAATGATGATGGTGATGATGTAAGGGCTTAGATGACCTCAAGTGCCAGGAACATCATCACTCAGCTGACCTCCTGGGCAGGGGATAGTATCAATCTTGGTTCCCAGATACAAGGATCCTTGGGTCCTGAGGGGATTACACACGTTGCTATGGAACTTGACACTTTGCAGCTACAGTTCATCCTGCACACTCTACTCTACTAACAAAACCAAAGGGACAGGAAGGGCATTTCTACCCTGAGACATGGTTACAGGAAAAACAATTGCACTGTGTAGGTGACCTCTCCGTGCTGGGCCGGGCAAGGCAGGGGTCACAGCTGCTCAGAGTCAGCTGGTCCATACTCTCTCAGGTGGTTTTTGGGGTGACCTGAGGGAGGGGAGCCCCGGTCTGATTCTACTCCACAGCAGGGGGAAGCAGAGCGCAGCCAGGAGCATCAGGACAGAGGGTAGGGCTGCCCAAGTGGAGCCCCAGAGGGAACCAGCCCTCAGGGTCCACAGGTGTCCAAGGGTCAGTGCTCGGCAGGAAGTTGGGACTGACTGTGCCATCCGCTCAGGACACAGTAACCATATTAAAGGGTCTCATTCACAGTGAACCCCAGGACACCCAGTGAAAGGGGCACAGTGGCCACGGCCAGGATGCTGCCCGGCTGACAGCCCCACTGGGCCAGCCCAGGAGAGACCACTGGATGGTTTCCAACAGCGGTCATGTGGTCAGACATAAGGAAGGTGACTGTGACCTCAGACCTTGGAGGCCAAGTCTGATTTTTTGGACATGCGAAGCCGTGGAGGAAGCTGGGTGACAGTCACCTGGGCTGATGGTTTGGGTGACTCCCATCTCAGTGAGGAGCCCCAGGGGGTTGTAAATTTGCATAAACCCAAACCCTCACTGCCCCCCTCAAAGCTCTGAGAGGGAATAAAAGGATATGAGTAGAACCCAGAGCTGCTGTGGAGTCTCGGAGGCAGAACTCAGGGCGTCCACACCATGGCCTGGACCCCTCTCCTGTTCCCCCTCTTCATCCTCTGCACAGGTGCTGCCTTCCGGCCCTGCCCGCAGGCTCAGGCCCCCCAGGACCCTGGGCTGGCCTGCCTCAAACCCAGAGTTCAGCCCAGGCACAGCCTCAGAGTGGGACCCCTCCCTGCGAATGGGTCCTTCATTCTCAACCCCTCTCCCATCCTCTCTTACAGGCTCTGTGGCCTCCTATGAGCTGACCCAGCCGCCTTTAGTGTCCGTGGCCTTGGGACAGACGTCCAAGATCACCTGCTCTGGAGACCTACTGGACAAAAAATATACATCTTGGTACCAGCAGAAGCCAGGCCAGGCCCCTGTGCTGGTCATTTATAAGGATAGCAACCTGGCCTCAGGGATCCCTGACCGATTCTCTGGTTCCAGCTCAGGCAAAATTGCCACCCTGACCATCAGCAGGGCCCAGGCCGAGGACGAGGCTGACTATTACTGTAGGTCAGCTGACAGCAGTGATTATCTTCACAGTGACACAGGCAGACGGGGAAGTGAGACACAAACCCCCTCCCTGTCTGGCTCACACTCTCCTCCAGCCCCAGGAGGACTATGAACAAAACAGTGACAGGTCTGGCCTGGTCCCTCACGTTCTGAGACCCCCAGGGTGCCCCTCCTCCCAGCCCTCCAGCCAGGCTCTGCACAGGGGGCTCAGGAGTGATTATGGACTGGCAGGACCAGGCTGGCTCAGTGTCTGGGCTGTGGTGTTGACTTGAGGAAATAAGGCCTGAATGAAGGACAGACAGCGAGGGCAGAGACCCAGTGCTAGTGGACCCTGGATGTCCACATGGTGCTGACTGGCCACTCATCAGCCCAAATCTCTTGGATGGATGCCCAGAACCACCCAGCTCATCAGAGCTCTGGAACCTCCAGGATCCCGTGGCAACCTGGGACTCCAAACGAGGCAAAGCAGCACAGTGGACAGAGTGGGGGCCGCCACGTCCCTCCTCCGGGCTCACCCGCCTCACACCCATGTTGGAGCCCCTGTCAGCTCCCAGCTGTGCCCTCCCTGGGGAGGGCTGTTGTTGTAGAGACAGTCCCCCAAGGCCGTGTCCCCTGGTGCCATCTAAAAAAGTGTAAAAGCGAGTACAGAAAGGATTTAACTGTGCCCAAGTACCTTTGTTGAAACTAAAAACAATAAGAAAGAAAGAACATAGGGAGAAACAAAATATCCCATACCCAGCAAGGAAAGATTCACAATACCTGAATATCAAAATTTTCCTGTAAGGAATCAGAAAAATAAGAGTGAAAATAAGTACAAAAGTCAGTTAATCCGAACTTGCCCTGAATGGCCCAGATGATGTATTTGATAGACAAGGACACAAAAGCAACTGCTATAGTTATAGTCCATTTGTTCCTGAGGTTGAGGAAAGATTCAACATGTTAAATGGAGACCCAGGGTGTAAAAACATGATCCACATTGAATTTCTGCAAGTGAAAACTACACATCTGAGATTAAAGTAAACGGGATGGGACTGGGAGCACATAGATGCTGCAGAGGAAGCCCGCTGAACTTGATGAAATAGCAGCAGAAACTACTCAAAATCAAACACAGACCCCCCACAAAAATGATGAGAGGTGTCATCCCCTGCCCCAAACCCACCCGTGTGGCCCGAGAAAAAGTCTCCTCTTAACAAATTTTGCCCATCGTTCCAGGGTCTAGAGTCTGACACAAGCTCAGTTTGATGAGTTTAGGACAGTTAAGCTCCAGACCCAAGTGGCCTTAGAAAGACTAAGGAGGCCAGCAGGAGGGGCTGAGGGTGTCCGTGGTGACCTGGAACAGAGCTCCTGAGACCTGGTGGGCGCACCGAATGGGTTTAGGGACCCCTCAATCCAGTATGAACTCACCTTAAGTAATTACATCTGAATGGACCCTATTTCCAAATAAGGTCCCACTCTTGGGCACTGGTGGTTAGGACTTCAACAGGCAATTGTTAGAGGTCCTACAATATGTTTGTGTATTTTGGTGTGGCCAGAAAATGTTGTCAGTGGAAAATCCCAAACCCAAGACTTTTTCCATCCATCCCATTCCTACATCCACTATTCCACCGTCTCTGCTTTCTATTAAGTGTGTGGGTAAGGCTTAAGGATATTCATAGATGGAAGAGGAGTAAATATTCATGTGTGCTTAATACATATCAAAACCCATCCGCGTTCTTCCTACTTATTAACTTCTTTAATCACAAATAATCAATGAACAAGCATCCCCATTATATCCCATCTTACAGATGCGGAAGCTGAGGCACAAAGGACAGAGCAACTTGTTTCAAGTCAGAACTGGAACGGGGCAGACCCAGCAGCAAAGAGGTCCCTCCACACAAGTTCCTGGACTTCCCCACCTTCCTGTGGCCTCTCATGGTGCTTCCAAAGCTAAGACATGGCTTTTCCTGAATGTGCTAGGAAGTTCTCTCTCCTATTTCAGACACAAGTGACTGACATTGTGACTTTGCAGTGCTGCCCTATCCATTACATACACTATTTGAACCACATATGTAATTTTAAATTATCCAGTAAACGCTTTTTAAAAATTAGGAGAAACCGATGCAGTTAGTTTCCATAATAGGTTTTGCTTAACTAAATTACTTGAAAATATCATTTCAATATGAATTAAATATAAAAATATTGATACATTCTACACTACACTATCCTAAATCTTTGAAATGTGCTGGGTATTTCGTATCTAGAGCACATCTCACTGCGACCACCCACATTGCATGTTCAGAAGCCTCGTTGGCTTGTGGCCACCATGTTGGACAGAGCAGGTGAGATGGATGAGGTTTCCTTGGGGTAACCGTGCCTGTAGTACATACTCACCACACCAAGAGGTGACGGAGGGTCCCAAGCCCAGAGTCTTTGCTGGAGAGGAACTGCTGAGCCATTTTCCACCCAGACCAGGGATACTGAGGGTACCTCAAAATGAGGAGATTTAATACATGTATCCGTGTGACTTCTTTCCCAGAGGCAAGATAGTAAATACAACTACAATTTTCAAGGTGGTTCTGAATCGTTAAACACATTTTTATTACAGTCTGTGAAATGAATGACAATAGTCTGTACATTTTTAAGTAAATAGTGTCACATCGTCCCTTTCAGTAGGGAGATCATTTCCATAAACCACACGTCATAAAGTTATATTTTGTGAATAGATCTAGATGGAAAGGTGGACCATAAGGAATATTTTAGTGACATTGGATACGGATCACCTGATGACCGAACAGAGGGTGGTGACAGGAGGGGCTCAGGGGGCCTGGAGTAGGGATGGAGGAAACTATGGGGGGTTTTGAGGGGGAGGGGGGAGGGGCTGAAAGGTCAGGCTCTGAAGTCAGTCCCTTGGATGGAATCTTGACCCATGCATCCCTGTCTGGGGGAATCTGGGAAAATCATTTACCCTCCCAATGGTTACTCCTCCTCATTAGACTGGGGAGAGGTTGTGCCTTCAGCAGAGGGCGCTGTGGGATTATTTGGTGCCCAGTGAGGTGCTGCAGGAAACTCACCAAGGGTCTGGCATATACTGGGGGCTCAAAAGTTGTCATCCTATTAAAGTAGCTACATGTGTAGGAAGACGTCCATCCTGGGGGCACCAAGGGGCACTGTGGTCCTGGCTGGGACCCTCGTAGGTCCACGTCCCCTGGGGAGGGCTCAAGTGCAAAGGGCATGACTGACACTTCCTTGAAGACACCTCTCTTGAGGAGAGTAAATGTCTCTCTGAAACCCACACGTGGCCCTTCTTCTGACCCCAGGGAGTCCCCAGCGTGAGGCCTCTGGGCTCAGGGTTCAGCCAGGAGCTGAGACACAGGATGGGGAGGGAGGAGTAGATTTGCATTCATGCTCCTCCCTTTTCCAGCTGCAAGGGGAGAGGATAAGCAGAGACCTGGAGAGGCCAGTCAGCTGGGCAGCCTCAGTGCAGAGCTCGCAGAAGGACCTCCAACCATGACCTGGGTGCCCTTCTACCTCCTGCCCCTCCTGTTCAACACAGGTCAGAGTGGCCCAGGGACGCGGGGGCCTCCCAGCCCCTCCCTCCAGCACAGCCCTGAGGGTCACCTGCCCAGTGTCAGTGCCGTCAGCCAACCCTTGCATTTCTGTCTGCAGGTCTCTGTGCTGTGCCTGTGCTGACCCAGACCCCATCTGCATCTTCTTCCCTGGGAGGCTCGGCCAAGCTCACCTGCACCCTGAGCAGTGAGCACAGCACGTACTACATTGAGTGGCATCAACAGAGCGTAGGGCAGGCCCCCAGGTATCTGATGAAGCTGACCAGTGATGGAAGCGTCACCAAGGGGGATGGGATCCCCGACCGCTTCTCAGGCTCCAGCTCTGGGGCTGACCGCTCCCTGACCATCGCCAACATCCAGTCTGAGGACGAGACTGAGTATATCTGTGGTGTCAACTATAAAACTGATGGCCCATATGGATACCACAGTGACACAAAGGGGAAGTGAGGCCAAAACCTCCCTCCCATGCCCTCCGTCCCACGGCACCAGGGTGAGCTGCTCCCTGTCTGTCCCCGGAGTCCTGACCTTTGAGTCTTCCCCTTGCAAACCCCTCACCCCCAACCTCTCCCCGAGTCACCCCCAGGGAGAGGCAGACACACATTAAAATTTAGGTGGTTTTGACGAGGTGGGATTCTGGGTCCTCCTCACAGGCCTGTGTGGGCAATGCTGGGAGAGACCAGCCCAGCCCAGGGCGGAACAGGACACTGGGAAAGGGCTGAGCTGAGATGACCCTGTCCCCAGTAGCCCCCAGGCCCTACTGCAAGTCTCTCAGGGAAGGAACATGGATCTTGGCGTCCAGAGGCGACATGCAGGTCATGGTACCAAGTGTCCTGACTTGGGTGCCCCGGGTGCAGAGCAGGACCCTGGCCAGGACTGAGGGCTCAGCAGGAAGCACTGGGCCTCTGGGGAGGGAGGATGGGAACCTTGACCCCATGGTGGGTGCAGAGCTGGGTCCTTAGGGAGTCATGAGGCGGTGAGGGTGTCTGTGGCAGTACAGACTTGGAGCTAGGCCAGGCTTCTCCTGCTGGAGAAGGGTCTCAGCTTTGGTGCCAAGAATGGCTCCCCATTCACCCACAGGACGTTCTAGGGACCGGCCAGCACCACGTCCACTGAGACAGCAGCAGGGATGGGGAACGGGGATGCTGAGCTGGAGAATATGGTCCCCTTACCCCAGTCGGACCCCCAGTGACTGAGGCCTGAGAGGCAAAGTCCAGGAGCTGCCCGTGGCCTGGAGGACTCCACGGGGGCAGGAGGGGAGGAGGCGGCTGGTCTTCCGTGGAGGGATGGACGGGGGGCCGGGGGCAGGGCTGGACAGGACATCAGAGCTCCATCCTGCAGTGACCTCTGTCCCCGACTCTGCCGGGACTCACAGGGGACACAGGGCCCTCTCCTGTCACCCCACCCCGGAAAGGGTTGTTCTCTCCAAGGGTTTGCTGTGACTTTGTCCCAAACAAGGCCTCCTGCAGGTCCCTCTAGTGGGGAGTGTCCTGCCCCCCTTACACTGTGGGAAAGGGAGCCAGGAGGATGGCAGTGGGGAAACCACCCCCCACGCGGGTCCCACCACATC